ACCAGAACCAAGCAGTGACATGTGGTTGACCTGGAACGTGATCAGTTTTGGGGAACTGGCCTTGCAAGCAAATCCTGGTAATCTTGGGGGGGAAAAAAACAAACACATCAGCCACCTAAGAAAGATAGCCTTTTGGAGCGCCCTTGGTGTTTGAAGGAACGCGGGCCAAGCGTGTCTTGGACCGAGTGAGGGGCGCAAAGGAAATCTTCACACTCCAAGAAGGGCGAACAAAGGAACAGGCAAGATGATAGAATGTGAGTGTCTGAGCGTAGTTAAGCTTTCCTATAGGCAGCTTTTGTTGAAAATTCCGAGCCCCCGGCGCGTCTGGGCTCTGGTATCTACCAATTTTACTACCAAGAGATTGTCGAGGCACCAAACCGCGATTGATGCCGTATCAACAAAATACCATGATTGTCTAGGAGTCCATGAGACTGAATTCCTGCCTGTTGCACAAAAGGAAGTGAGTGCGTGTAGAAACTGCAGAAGATAGTAAGCCTTGATTGAGTTTGACTGTGTATTTGTTTATAGATCCTGCTCCAAAAACAGTTCTAATGAATCTTGGTGCGGGGTTCCTTTCCCCTAGATCTGTAAAGCGCCTTCAATCTTGTGGTTCCCTCCAAAATGGGTCTGTCCTTTTTGGAGGACCCACTAAAATGGGCGGTGTTCCTTTTGGTTTCACTTTAAAACCACCAAAACAGGGGGTAATGTGGACCCCATATTGATCAATCCCTGTTTATTGATAGGAGGGTGTCCATCTCTGTGCGGATTCAGACCACTTTTGGAGGACCCCCAGACTCAGCCACCTAAGAAAGATAGTCTTTGGGAGGAAAACAGGGGCATCATTTTGGTTTCCCTTACCACCAAAACAGGGCTATTCAAAGGGGAACCAAAAGGGAAACCGCACATTTTAGTGGGTCCCCCCAAAACAAGACCACCAAAGCACAAGTTCTCCAAAAAATAAAACACTTGTTTGGGTCCTTCAAGGTGTCCCCTTTAAAACCACCACACCAGAGCCCCGCCAAGTCTTCGAATCTTCGGCTGAGCTGCATCCAGCTTCCCCCAGGGCCGCTCGTCCAACTGGGCCGCGGCAAAGCGGCGAGGCCCCACCGGCGGCAGGGCGTAGGGCAAGGCCCCGTAGCGCTCCTGGGCGTCGGTTCACCGGGGCTGTCTGTACTCGGTTGCTTTCTGCCCCCCTGCTAAAAGTTTAACTTTTAGTAGTTTGATGGAAAACCCATTTGTTGGCAAAAAGTTGAAGTCCTAACATCCCTTGCAAAATGCACCAAAGTGTAGCTGGACCTGGTAGATGACTGAACCACTAGGTAAACCAGGGCCCAAAAAGGGCACCTACTGCCACTATAATCTTAAAAAAAAGAAAGAGAATAGATTTATTCTCTACTGCGGAAACTCATTATAGTATGTTGTTCTTAGTGTTTTTCTTTTTTTAGGATTCATTCTCTATGAATAGTTCGAAGTATAGTTTGTTTTACCTTTAAATAACTATTTCGATAAAGAAATAAGGGGCTGTCTATAGCTGGCCCCGGTGGATGACTGAACCACTAGGTACACCAGGGCCCTCCAAACCAAAAAGGGCACCTACTGCGGGTGGTTGCGACACCCATTTCCCGGCCAACAAACACTAGTTTTGTGTAGTTTCAAAGTGGTGCGAAATGGATTTTGTCCACAGTACTGGGCTGTCTGTGTTTCGCGGGTGCCTTTCGTTCGTGGCTTTGGGAAGCCAAAAGGAAAACACATCATCTTCTTTGTTTTGTTGGGCGGGCGCCCTGACAAAAGACACACCCATTCCCACAAACCGTCAAGGCATTCCGAGGATACCTGGAAGATCTCACTTTCTATCGACCTCGGGTGCCATGTGAGTGAGAGGGAGGGGAGTTCTCCTTTCTTGTCTTTTTGCTCTGAGGTCCTTTTGCCACCGATCTGCTCGGTCCTTTTGCCGATCCGATCTGGGAGAAGTTTAGCAAGCGAGGAATCCTCTTCGGGGAGAAATTGCTCCATCAGGAAGGATTCCAAGTGGTTGCTGGTAAGCACCGCACCAGCAAGAGCAACTGAGTCGCTTAGGCCGGGATTAACTTTCACGAGGCTGAACTAAGCCTTTGGGCCATCTGACTGCTCCAACCCGTGGCCTGACCTGGAGGGAAGCTATGGACACATGTGGCCCCAAATGGACATGGGAACCTTCGGGAGGTTTCATCCGCGGGAGGTTAGAAACAATTTCTCAATTCTCGACGGCAAAGGGCACTGCTTTCAGCGGGACTGTGCGTGGCCCCGCGACTCACGGAGGGCTCCCGAACCAACCAGCCTCGGTTGCTTTCTGCTCCCCTAACTTTTAGTGGTTTAATGAAAAACCCAGTAGTTGGCAAAAAGTTAAAGTCCTAGCATCCCTGGCAAAATGCGCCAAAGGCGTGATCTCATGCTAAATGGGCTCTTCCTCACTCTGCAAGTCTTCGTCCGGCCGAGCCGCCACGCCAGTGGTCTCCCAGCGACCCTCCGCCACACCCAAAGGCGTCTGCACCACCGGCCTAGCGCCAGTGATGGGCCTCGGATCAGGAAGCAACTCTTGGGTTGCTGCAACGACCCCCCCCGCCCCCCGCAAAAAGTCTGTTTAACTTTTTGGGGGTTTAGTACGGAAAACCCAACTTGATTTCAACCAGCAAGTGAAAGTCTAAAGATCTGTAACCCAATAGCAGTCATTAATTGTTCGGGCCAGCCGGATAGCCGGGTGGTTGGCATCTGGCTCACCGGCCATGTTCAAACTCGTTTACTTAGGTGTCCTTTTAGGGGAAATAGATGGATATCCCTGGTAGATGAGAAAAAACCACCAGGTAAAGCAGGAATCGCCATCTATTTTTAGAGCAAAACCACCAAAAAGGACACCTATGCTCAAACCGATTCTGCTGCAGGTGAAATTCGCAATCGCTTGGTTCAAACCGCGGGTGGAGGTGGACACCCCAGATTCGCCGTCTCCGGATGTTCACAGTACCGAAAAGGCCAATCCTCTGCTGGTCTGTTGCCCATTCTCAAGCTCTAGCCTTTGCCGAAATCCAAAGCCTCCTGCTCACCTTTCCTTCCGGCAATTTTAGTGCAGAAACCTCGAAGGGTCCTCTGTGGTGCCCAGGAGACAGCCGACTGCGTGTCGGACCAACGGCAAGGTTCAGGCGAGGCAACCATGACAAGATAAGACTTGCGACCCCAAACAACCACTCCACAGGGCCAAAGTGGTATGCGCCTGAGACTCCACCCGGCATGTTCCGGGCGGTATGCCAAATGATGTCAGATAAAACGCTGGATGCGCTGTGGTAAAGTCGGCTTCGTCCCAGTCAACCCAAGAGTGCATGAGGTATTTCGAATCCACCGTAGCCCTTGCTTTCCTTTGCTCACTGCAAAGAGTGTCCTCTGTAGTGCGCGTTTCTTTCTCGAAATATGTATAGGTGGATCTCAGCAGCGTCATTCAACAGTTGCTAAACGCTAGATGCAAGTACACAATGTTCAACATGCTGTTGCTACGCCGACTTCAAAATCGTATCCAGGATCCTGAAAACGGCCTCATGTAAGTTTGGACAACCGCCAAATGTTGGCATTCAGGGCTTCAGGGCAATTTGCAAGCCGACCCTGAGCATTTCGTGTATGTCACTACGTAAAGGGGCAGGGTACTAGTAATTCATGAGTAAGCCTGGTTGTTACCCACCTAGGAGACTGACAACCATGGTAAGTTGGTGACAACGCCCCTTCAAGTAGGGCCACCCCGCGTCCAAGACATGGAGGGTAGGCTGTCCCTGAAGAATGCTGGGCTCCCCGGCAGGAGCCAAAAGAGAATGCCCCACGCCATGGCGAGATTCGCACACTTCAACGGAGGTACTGGATGGAGGGCTTCCCGGGGCAAAAGTACTTGGCTTTCGTTTTGGGGGGCGAAGTTCTCAAAGGCGTCTCCAAAACGGTGGCTGGAAGCATTCCTGAGACCTACGCGACTCAAGCCGTGGCTGAGGAAAGAAGCCCGGGCCGGGGCGGGAAAAACGCGATCGCTTCGGAACCTCCGAGCGCCACTTGCGAAGGTCAGCAGAACACTCATTTGGTCGACTGTGTCTCAGTTAATCCAAAGCCCACAACAATTGGCTCCAGTGCCTGTGTTCCTAAGGTAATTTCCGCTACTGCAGAGTCTCTGCCAATCAAGTCATAGTTCTGTTGTTCCAGAACTCTTGGCCACCAAACTGACTGGCGCGAAGTGCTGTGTCTCAAGGACTGTTCCCTGGTGGCACCATGAAGGTACCAGAAATGTCAGATCTAGTCCCCGCTATTTGGCGCCAGCGACAAGTTGAAATCTGCTGAACCAACATCAGCAATCAGCTGGATTCAAGACACCACACGAATTGACACAAGCCAGAAAACGTTCTCGGTGCATTCCGCTGTGCGAGGATTCATATTTACCCAACAACCAAACATGTCCTTGGCTGCGAACTTGACTTGCTGGTGCTCAGCAGGGGAATGACCCCTTTGAACCATCCCTTCTGGTTCCTTTGAGGGAATCCCTGGGTTCATTCCCACATTCCCTATCTATCGCACCAGCAAGCTGACACGCCATAGCAAAATCTACTCAGAATAGTGCTCCTAACTTTCGGTGAGGTCACTACTTGTGTTGCCAGCCCGCCAAGCTTAAACAGGCTCTGCCGTGCCAACGACTCGTACAGCATTTGAAGGTATGGAGTATGGAGGGTATGTCAAGGCATGGAGGCAGCATCTACTTACCGTCGTAAAAGTTCAAACCCCTGAAAATGCCATTGACATTTAGCTCATCCCTTGGCCGTGCGGTCTACAGGCACGAGAATGCTCATGGGTCGGAATGCCTCTCATGGAGGCCAGCCTCAATCGAAAAAGCTGTGGCAAGGGCATGGTGCAACGGCGCAAACTTTTCTGACCGTGATACAACCGCTTTAAGCCCTTGCAAAAATCCACAGGCGCGCCCAGCCACCGCGCATGGAAACCCGAGCCTCCCCCATCAGGAACTCCACCTTGTCTCGGCCCTGGCGGTCCCTCTGGGGCTCAGCCCGGTTCTGCAGCCAGACCAGGTAGCCTGGCCGAGGTCGACGGTCGCGGCCCCCAGGGGCCGGGCTCCAGTTAACCACCGCGCTGGTCATGCTTCCGAAGGGTCAGCTGAAAACAGGACATCTTGCCAGCAGGAAGTGGAAAGTGGAGGTCTGCTCAAGTTCCACCCGCAAGATTCCGACAGTCCGTCTGCCCTTCACACGTGTGGGTGCTCCCCAAAGCCAACCTCCCATGGAACCCACAAGCCTCCCAGGCTCCACAAACCCGAAAAAAACGCAAAGAAACACCCAAGGCCACCACCCGTTGCAAGCCTCCAACCAGATTTCCAGGCCCCACAACCCCCCCCCAAAAAAAAAACAAAAACCACCACCCATTGCAAGCCTGAAACCAGAACCCTAGGCCCCACCAACCCCAAGAAAAACCACCACCCCACCTCACCTCACTTCATCATTTGTCCGCCTTCCATGGCCCGGGCGTGCACGTTGGCCACCGCCAGCTTCCGGCACTGCGCCTCCAGGAAGCCCAAGGCCTGCGGTTTTCGGTTTGCGCGGGTGGCGTCTTTGGTTTCTTTCACCTGTTCCCCCTGGAGGTTCCACATGTTTTGAGCAGAGACAACCTTGTTTGCTCCATCAAAACCCAAAAACCTAGGTTCTCTGGCTTTTTAGTACTCTTTTTATATCCAGACGTGAAAATCCACAAAAGCCGCATCCAAGCCGTGTTCCGGAAAATATGTGCCTATGCACATGCCTACTGTGGGTGGTTGTGAAATCCACTTCGCAGCACCTAAGAAACCAACACACAAACTTTAAGGTTTGTTGGTATTTACAGGGGAAGCATCAGAAACCAGGGGCATTTAGGTGGTGCGAATTGGATTTCGTCCACCCGCAATAGTACTGGGCTCCTGGGGGGGGAAGCTAAGAACTTGCTGGCAACTTGACAAACACGTTGGCGCTTTCCTAACAGGGAAGTGGCAGGGAACTTGACCGAAGCTTGCGCTTGGAAGTGACAAGCAAGAGAAGCTGCTAGCTGCTACTCTTGGTTCGGGGCGGCAATCAAGGGAACGGTCAGCGCAGAGAGAGGAAACCTCGCGTTCTCCAGGCCTGGGGGCACCTCCTGGCGCTATTTTGAGGTGCAGAGAGAACCGGCGCTTTGCCAGAAAAGGGTCCATCTAGATCAGCCACTGAAATCATCGTAGGACTGGTTGGGGACCAGAAAAGCGATCTAGAGCCTGGTGGTTGGGGAGACCGACCCAATGTCTCCCTTCCAGTTCCTCAGCCAAGGAGCAAACAAACACGCCGAAAACAGCCTGACCGTGCAGCCCCATTTGCAGGGCTGAAGAAGATCCACCGCTTTGGTGTACCGCCTCCCCACATGTGCCATTTTCAATAGCCGTCTAACATGCCTTTTTTCGGGGTCCCTACTAACACCAGGCATTTTGCATGACTTTGAACCACACATGGACCACCTGGCCGCTCTTGGGGTCCAATCAATCTCCGGCCGGGCGCCTGCAAGCTCAGCGCTTCGCACTCCACCTGAGGGCACTCACTCGCAGCCCGTTCCGAGGGTTCCGAGGGATGGAATTGGCGTTGCAGAGAACGGCTTTGAACCCAAACGGTGGATGCCCCCTGCCGATCACAAGTCATTGGGATTTATAGGGGTGATGCCCCTACCGACCCACATTGCAGGGGCAAACCGACCACGTTGGGAGTTGCAAAAGTTCCCTTGTTCCCTACTGCAATATTTAGGGCATCGTAACCCTGCATTGCCGCAAGAAATGATTGGAGGAGAGAGCGTTATCCCACGTTTGAAGCAAGTGGTGTGAAGCTCGCTGTGGACCCAGGGCCTGAATTGGAACGAAACATCAGCGGTCTCTCCTTGGATTTCTTTGACATCAACATGACATGCCCGTTGAACGAAGCCCAGGCCGGTACCTTTGGCCAGTTGGCCATCGGCCTGCAAAAGGGAAAAACCCTGGGCCACATCTGACGCGGCTGGCGGTCGGGTCGGATAGCAGCACAGACCAGAAGCAGTTACAGAAGAAATGGCCATGGGTCAAAAGCCAAATCGTACCCCCAGCTAACATCAACCAATCCAACCGCGAAAATCCCGGTTCCAAAAAATGGGCGGTGAGAATTCACCCATCCCAACCAACCTGGGATCCATCCCACAACCGGTTTTGACCACCGCCGCCGAAAGTTGCATCACTTCACCTCACCTGAGATCGTGACGTTTTTTTCAGACCCGGAAGCCGGGATCTGGACACTCCCGGAGCGGGTTCGTGCCATCTGCCATCCAATGTCGACCCCGTTGACCCCAGACTCCTAAACCCCGAGCGGCTGGGTCTTTTTTTTTGGGGGGGTGTCCCATTCCTTTTAGTGGTTGGATTCAGACCGCTTCTGGAGGGACGGCCCCCCCTAATAATGGGACAGGTCTACTAATCCGAGG